AGCCCCCAGGGCAGGATTACCTCCCAGAGTAGGTCTGAAAAATAAAATTGTTTGCAAAAAACAGAAATTCTATAGAAACTCTTGAACTTGGTCCTCCTCTCTCCATCTCTTCTAGCATCTCTTGACTAATAGCTACCTTTCTGTCAGGTCTCCACAGAGCAAGCCCTTGCCTGTGACATCTGTCCTGGTCCTGTTCTTCCAGGTCTTTGAACTGCTGAATGTCCTAGTGACTGACCTGATGATCTTGGCTGACGAGCTCAGCCCCATAAAGAACGTTGAGGAATCTTTGCATCTCTGCAGCTGACTCTCGGGCCCATGTATCCTCCTGGGAAACTGGCTGATAAGTTAATAAAGAACCCTTTCGGCTTCCACCACTTCCCCTGTGCCTCTGTGTCTTGGTGTTGGATCTCAGTGAGGTCAGCTCATGGCCCAGGTGTTCCCATGGCCCACCTGCCCCCGGATTCCCCTCTGCCCTGCTCCTGGAGCCATCCCCACCCGGGAGGTGATATAGAGAGCATGAACAGAAGCGCAAGTTGGTAGCAGGACAAGGAATGAAATCAGGTGACAGGACAGATAGCGTCACTTTCGTAGTTCCTGCTCCAGTCTGTCTTGGTTCTAAAAAGGATCATGCTTCTTGGAGCCAGGTCTTCCAAAGTGTCATCACCAAGTTTGACAAAGTGTGAGACTAGGAGAAGCAGAGCCCATGGGACCTGGCTCCTTGAGATCTCCCACTTCAGCTGGCCTCAGAGTCCAGTCCCCAAGAAGACACTACCACACCTTCTAGACCCTGGAGGGCAGACCCCTTTGTCTTCAGCCAGAGATTCTGGAATCTGTTTTCTCCCCGCTTTATGTTAAAGCAGCTGGCCTGACTTCACACTACCTTCCCTGTATAGAGGAATGTGAAGTGAGCTGAGGTCCCTGATCAGACCCAGCACCACAGGGTTTTCTAAGGGTGGCACCCATGTGGGCAGGGCTCCTGTGTGGAGTGGGCCACAGGCTCCTGAGATTGGAGCATCACTCTCTGAACTGTGGCAGAGGGGCTTGTGGTCTGATGTGCTGATGGGGCAAGACAGGTGTGGGTGGGAGGCTCAGGAGTGGCTCAAAGCCCCTTGTATTCACATTTGGTGTTTCTGATAATGACCTCATGGGCCTCCAGCACCCTCCAGTTGAGACCTGAGAGAAGGAGGTTCAGAGAGGGCAGGGTGCTTTCTTCCCAGTTGGAGAGTCCTGAAGCCCCTCAGGGTGGCTGGGGAAGCCGGCTAGAAGCCCACAAGGGGACAGCCCCAGGGAATGGTCCTGCCCTCTGCTTTAATGTCCTCTAGAGGAGGAGAGGTGTGGTGTGGGGGTGTTGGGAAGCCCCCACCCCTGTTTCCTGTTGAGGAGGTAAGGGAAGGGTTAACTCACTGTGGGATGGGTTGGGTCCCAGGCTCCAGATCCGCACCCTGGGGGATCACCAGCAGGCAGGACTGTCTCCGAATGCCCCGCCCTCCTGGAGGCAGCAGGAAGGGGTTAACACACCGCCTGCCCTGCGTCCTCCTGTGTCCTGTTACTGCTGAGGCAGACCTGCCCGGCCAGCCGAGCAACTTTCCTCCTGAGTGCTGCGCGCTGGCCAGAGTCTAGGAGGCAAACGGGCAAGAGGCAGAGCCGCAGCCTATTGGGGGACCCTGCCATCACCCTTCTGAGGGGTCTGTGCCTCCTGGGAGAGGGTGGGTCTTGGGGTCGAGGGTCCATGGTGGATGGCTCTGGAGCCACTCCCAAGGCTGTGCCATCCCCCTGCCTTGCTGGTCAGAGGGTCACTGCAGAGGCTGCTCGGGCTGGGGCTGAGGGAGCCCGCACTGGAGGTAAGCTCCCTCCCTGGCAGCAGAAGAGCCCTCCATGACAGGTGGGGCAGAGTGGGCTTGGGGCTTGGTCTCTTTCCCAGGTGCTAGAAAGGACAGGGCTGGGCTGTAGTGGACTTGAAGGCTTCTTACCTGTGTCCTCTGCCCCTCCGAGTCACCCCCGGGAAAGACTCAGGGTCTCCCTCTCCATCCCGGTATTAATGTCTTTGGTGGCATCTAGCATCTTTGGTGGCACTCCTCACAAATTCTGGCACATCTCTGCTGGTCCTTCTTCCTCGGTTCCAGCTGCACGTCTAGCCCCAGGGTGACCCTCAGCCCACTCCAGTGCCCCCAGCACACAGCTGCCCCAGAGCTGACAGAACCAACAGAAGCTTAGGGCTAGCATCACTCTCCTGTCCCTCCAGCAAAAGAAAGGTCCTGCCACTCCTCCCGTGTTCACGATGGACCGAGGGGAGTAGAGGATGGGGAGGGGCTGCTGGCTGGAGGGGCACATGCGGACTTGAGCAAACTTGTGCATGTGACTGGACAGATCTAGGTTCTGCCCATCTCTCTGAACCCCACTCTGGGGATGCCATCTGCTTACACAGTGCTGACTTTTGGGACTCTCTCCAGGTCTCTCCCCATTCCCATCCTGCAGACCCTGAGAAGAGAAGCCCCAGCCCCCTAATTCTCCTGAGTCGTGTATAGACCCCTACCCTCCCTGCCGTCCCAGCCCAGCCTACTCTCCCCCTCTACCTGTCCCCTCCTGCCTCCTGCCCCATCTGAATTGGCCTCCCAAGTCCTGGCTTCTCAGTGTCCTTCCCTCCACCTGACAGGGTCTGGCTCAAGGTCACTGCAGTAATTCCATACAAGCTGCCTGGGGCTGCCGCTGCCTTATCGGCAGCGGGGTTTCTGTTTCACTCCCTTTTATTCCTGGGCATATTGTGTTCGATAAAACCCTTTGCTTGTAACTCGGCTGGCAGGGCTCCCAGCTGCTCCTCCTGACTGCCTTTCCTCCCCCCTCCGGACTCCCTTGCCTTCACTCTGCCCTCTCTTCTTCCCTACCTTGTCCCCTCAAACTCTAGGGGGAGGAGGTCAAGGCACCTCCCTTTGTTTCTGGCCCCTCTCCCACCCCAGTTCCTGCAGAGGTGTGCAGAGATGCCCACCTTCCTCCTAGAAGAAAAGTCCAGGCAGGGTTGCCCGGCCACACCAGGAGGTCCCCCTCCCACTAAGACCGGAAGAAAGGCTGGAGCAGCCAGGCCCAGGTAGGGCTCTGGTGGAATCAGGATACCAGACTGGTTCTGCTAGTTCCATTGGCCAGCAGGGAGGGGCATGCACTGGGGCCAGCTTCTGTGCACAATTATTTCCCATCTTGACTCTGCCACTGCTGGCCTGCCCCGCCCCTTGGGGAGGTAAAGACAGGTCTGAGTCACTAGCAAGGGGGAGGGCAGGAGTTAAACAAGTTGAGGCCATAGCATCCCCACAGAAGGCCTACTACCAGCTGGACAGAAAGACAGACAGAAGGTAGGCAGCACTTTGGGCCAGCCACACTTCATCTTTCCTGACTCCCACAGGATCAGATCCTCGGGGCCATGCCCTCTGAGGCACCTGGGCCCTGACAGGACTTGCCAAGGCCTGTGGGGTGTTTTGGACTGGGCTCAGCACTGGGATGGAAGGAGAGTGGCTTTGAGGGCCCTGGGAGCAGGACAGCCTTCTGAGTCCTGTCTTTGGCAATCTGGGGACCAGTTGACACACAGCCAGGCTGGGGTGGAGGGTGATGTTGGGAGGTGCGATCTCCATGGCTATCAGGATGTCATGGGGGAAGCGGAGGTTCTACAAGATCAGCCAGTGCATGTGCCTTGTCCCTGTACCAGTGCCAGAGGAAGGGAGGTGGCAGAGAGGTTCCTCTTTGGTTTCTGATAGGGCCTTGAGAGAATTTTTCTGTCTTGGGCCTGGCCCTGAGGCTGGGGCAAGAGAGGAAGGCTAGCCCTGTTCCTCCCTGTGCTTTGCTATTAGAGGTCTTCTATGTACCCAGGGCCTTGGGAGTTTGAAGAGCCTGAATTGTCCCTGCCTTCAGGGAACTTCTATTTTGGCTGAGAAAATGGAACTGAGATAGTAAAATATTCAGATTCATTAATTACCAATTTAGTAACAGTGACAATAAGTACCAGATTAATCTTATGGAAATGTAAATGTCAGCCCCAAGCCCTCCAACCACACACCATGTGATGTGAGCAGGTCACATCCCCTCTCTGGCCTCTGGGGGTGGCAGGGGGTAGTGGTGGCTAGGTCTCTGCGAGACACAGCTACCCCTACAAGCTCCTTTCCTTTGCCTTCTCTCTGGTTCCCCCCTTCAGCTTCTTCTCCTCCTCCCCTTTGGGTCCCCGATCTTGGCTCAGCCACCACCTCCTCCAAGAAGTCTCCTCAGATTTTCCTTGCATGCATCTTCTGTGCTTCTGTGCATGCCTGCACTGGACTGTGATCATCTATACCCTTACAACCAAATGTGGGTGAACCAACACACTGAGTTTGGTCTAGGGCCTGACCCAGGGAAGGTCCCAGGAACCAGGTGCTGAATGAATCAAACTATAAAAATCAGCATAGGAGGAAAAGAGGAGAGTGAACAAAGAAGGCAGGAAAGCTGTGAGCAAGATCCTCCTCAGAGGGAGCCAATCAGGAGCGAGGCAAGGGAGTGGGCATCACAGCAGTCATGTTAAGGTCCTGGCTGAGGCCACTCTGGGTCCTCCTGGCCCCCCACTTAGCAGCTCTGTGATTTTGGACAAGCCATGGAATTCCTCTCTGAGTCTCACTATCCCCATGCATGAGTGGAGATAGTTATCATGGCATCTCTGGTGTGGTTGTGTAGATGGGTATGCCAAGCTACAAATACCTGCTGAATAATAAGTAAAATAAGAAAAATAAAAGTGAGTGTCCACTGACGGCTGTTCCCACCAGCTGGAACACTCTGGCTAGGCCTTTGTCAGTGCTGAGTGACCCTTGGGAGGGGAGCACTGATCCTGAATTCCGGACCTTCTCTTCCTCAGCCCCATGTGGGACCGAAGGACACAGCCGCCCTGCTGAGAGCACGGCGGCTCGCCCTTCAAGACCGTGACCTCACGACGGTGGCCCTCGGCCCTCCACCTCCAACGGGGGCGGGGGCCGCCCACCTCCAAGTCTCCAGCCATGACGACCTCTGCGCTCCGCCGACAAGTGAAGAACATCGTGCACAATTACTCCGAGGCGGAGATCAAAGTGCGCGAGGCTACTAGCAATGACCCCTGGGGTCCACCCAGCTCCCTTATGTCGGAGATCGCCGACCTGACCTTCAACACGGTGGCCTTCGCCGAGGTCATGGGCATGCTGTGGCGTCGGCTCAACGACAGTGGCAAGAACTGGCGGCACGTGTACAAGGCGCTGACGCTGCTGGACTATCTGCTCAAGACCGGCTCGGAGCGCGTGGCGCACCAGTGCCGCGAGAACCTCTACACCATCCAGACGCTCAAGGACTTCCAGTACATCGACCGCGATGGCAAGGACCAGGGCGTCAATGTGCGCGAGAAGGTCAAGCAGGTGATGGCCCTGCTCAAGGACGAGGAGCGCCTGCGGCAGGAGCGAACTCATGCCCTTAAGACCAAGGAGCGCATGGCCCTGGAGGGCGCAGGCATCGGCAGCGGGCAGCTGGGCTTCAGCCGCCGCGGTGAGCGGGGTTCTCCATCCTCCTACACCTGTGAGTGAGCCCCGAGAGTGTGGCTGGGACAGGGAGGTGGCCAGAGTCCAACCTTGGCTTTGCAACCCTGAACCATGGTGAATAGTATTTATCTTGGAGGGATGTTATGAGGACCAGCAAGATAAGGAGTGTAATGTGCAAGATATAATGCCCCCACATAGCAAGCACTGCTCAAGTTAACTCAAATATAATGTTATTATACATTTGCCATTCAATTTATTAATTAACTATCGCTAGGATGGCATGGTGGTTGCACAGACTGGGGTCAGATACCATCTATTGTGCCCCTTCCAAGCTGTGTGACCTGGATAACCAACTCTTTGAACTTCAGTTTCCTTATCTGTAAGATGGGGATAACTTCTGTTGTTTGATCTGTTAAAAAACAAAGCAAAACAAAACAAGAACAAGACAAAACAAAACAAAAAAAGGCCCTCAACCAGACATGTGGCATTCCTCTTAACTCTCTCTCTTGAGGGCACTGCCCTTGAAAATAGGGGCAGTTGCTGTGCAGTTCCTGAATGCTTCCCCCAGCAGTGAAGGCTGATCTGAGGAACTTTGGAATAGCCCTCCTTTTTTTGGAGGCTGGGGATGGGGGACTGAACCTAGGTAAGCTCCACCTCTGAGCTGCATCCCCAGCCCTTTTTATTTTGAGACAGAGTTTCACTAAATTGCAAGGCTGTCCTCAAACTTGCAATTCTCTTGCCTTGGCCTCCTGAGTAGCTGGGATTATAGGTATGCACTACCTGATGTGGCTTAGAATGGCCCTGCTTTCATTGCTGAGAGCTTTGGCTGTGACTTTGTTATATTGGAAGTTCCTGCCTTCCCACTCTTCTTGGCTCCAAGCACAGTGGGGTCCAGCTGGAAGAGTCCAAGAGCAGGAGTCAGGGGACCTGAGCTCAAGTCCTGCTTCAGGATCCTGGCCAGACACCCTCTGAAGTGTCTGCCCATCTGCTAAGGTGGCACTGGCATCTGCACTTCCTGGGTGGAATGGGGAATCTACAGGAAGTGCCCAGTAAAACACCTGGCTCACTGGAGCCCTTGACAGTTGTTTTTTTGCCTCAGTTTCCCTATCTGATCCTCAGCTTCTCAGCAGGCAGAGGAGTGTGGGTACTGTGGCCCTGTGGGTACTAGTGTGGTCATAGAGGCCATGATGGTTGTTGCAGCTGCCTCTTCATCCCCCCGCTATGCCTCGGACCTGGAGCAAGCGCGGCCCCAGACGTCAGGAGAAGAGGAGCTGCAGCTGCAGCTAGCACTGGCCATGAGCCGAGAGGAGGCTGAGAAGGTGAGACCTCAGTTGTCCCGGGCCGGCCACAGAGGGAGGAGAGAGGCCTGGTGCTCCATGACTCGGGTTTCCCACCCTGGGCCTCAAGCCCTACTCCTCTCTCAAGGACAGTGCAGGGCCTGTGTCCCTGGGTTTGTTTCAGGCAGGACTCCTCTTGGACTTCAGTCCTCTCTGGTTGGACCTGGGAGTGTGACATGTGGTTGGGGTATACAGTATGCTTGAAGGGCCTTGTGATGGGGGAGGGGAGCGTGCTGACAGACATCCTTGAAAACACTGGGATTGCTGCTCCCCCATCAGCTGTCCTTTAGGGAGGACAGTGATAGTACCTTTGATATCAACTCTGCCATAACCTCTGCGGATGCAGGCAGACCAGGTAAGAAGCAGCTGGGCACACATGGTGGTGCTAGGGGAGCACTCAGGCCACCAGAAGAGAAAGACCCAGCTTCCTGATCCTGAAGCCACATCCTCACTGCCTGCCCCATTTATGGTGGCCATTTCTGTCTCCATCCCTGCTTCCTGGGCAAAGCTATGCTGGCCCTCTGGCCAAGGGTGGGGAGTGCTGAGTCAAGTTCACCCATCTTCTTCCCTGCAGCCAGTACCCCCAGCCTCCCACAGGGACGAGGACCTACAGCTGCAGCTGGCTCTGCGCCTGAGCCAGCAAGAGCACCAGAAGGTAGTGAGTGGGCTGAGCCGCCTGGGCCTGGGCTGCAGGTGCCCCAGTGCGGTGCTGGTGGAGGTGCTATGGGCACTAACCGGCTTCTCTGCTGCTCTAACTTGGTGCCTCCCACCCTGCTCTCTCCTTGACCCCAGGCTGGGCGCACAGGTCCCCTCAAGTTCAGCTTGAACTGCTCATGCTCCTCCTGCCTCTGTACCTTCTGCAGGAGGTGAGGTCCTGGCGGGGAGATGACTCCCCCGTGGCCAATGGTGTAGGGGCTGTGGTTCACCATCGCCATCGGGGGGACACAGAACCAGGAAGAGAAGAGAAAAAGGAGGAAGAGAAGCTGAAAACCAGTCAGGTAGGGAGCAAGTGGAGTGCGTAGGCCAGCAGGCCTGGAGGTAATTGAGTTGGTATTTGTAGAGCGTAGAACAGTGCTTGGTGTATAGTAAGTACTACTTAAATATTTATTAAAGGAAAATGGGGGTGGCAGCATGTAACAGCCCCTGGTCTCATACGTGTGGTCTAGACTTGAGCTGATAGCAAAATGGGATGTGACAAGATCCTGACCAAGATCCTTGGATTTGCTGCCACTTACTTTATGACTTGGAGAATATCACTGTCTAGGCCTTGGTTTCCCCTTCTACACAGCAAGTTCTTTGATCCTGATATTGTAGAATCACGGGATACTGTGGATCACGACTAGGGGCTGGTTCTGGCACATGGTGCTGAAGACATCTTGGGCAGCCTGGCAGGGGTGGGTGGGGGAGTACATGGCTTCTGAGAGCAAGACCACCCTCCAAAGCTATTCAGGCTGCCCGTGGGGTGTCTCTGTCCCCTTTCTGCCCACATTCATTGTGGTCAGTTTCTCTTGGACACTGACCTATGGAAGTAGGTTTGTTTAAAAAAAAAAAAATCATCTCTGCTCTTATGGCCTCTTTCTGCTGGCCTGAATTCTATCCCAGCGCTGCCTCTCCCTGGCTGTGTAACTTCAGGCAAACCATTTCCTCTCTTTGGGCTTGAACTGGCTCATCTGTAAAGTGGGTATATCACCTGCTTTACCTTCCTCACAGGGTTGTTATGAAAGTGGGCAGTCAATGGATGAGGAAACATTTTATAAACTGGAAGCTGTACAGAGGTGAGGGATCATTAAGAGATGTTTGTGGAATGAATAAAGGAGGGAATGAGTTCGAGTTAGGCTGGCAGGTCAGGGCCTGCCCTCCCTCTGGGCCCTGCCTATGTCCAAGCTGCCTCTCCCCTCCACAGTCCTCCATCCTGGACTTGGCTGACATCTTTGCACCTGCCACAGCCCCACCCTCCACACACTGCTCTGCTGACCCATGGGACATCCCAGGTGGGTATGCAGGCCTGCAAGAGGCTCCTAGGCTGGTCCCAGAAAGCCCCTTCCTTCCCAGCCACTATGGTCAACCACTTCCCCACATTAGCTGGGGCAAATCACTCACCTCCCCCAGTCACAGCTGCCTCTGTGACCTGGCTTTTATGGTGAAAGAACCCCCAGTGATGTGAATCTCAGTAGAGGTTCTCTTGCTGCCCTCTCGCCATTCCAGCCCTGAATGGGAAGGTGGCCAACATTGCCCATGCCTGGGGGTCCAGAGGCCTGGGATAACTAACCTGGACTCCAGCTTCTGGCTGCTCCTGAGGCAGCATTCCACCTGTCAAGTGGCTCCCATACCTCCCACTTGGGCTGTGTAACTGGGAGAGGCCCTGCACGAGGGATTCTGGGAGCTGGGGGTCTGGGCTTACACCTGTGCTATTCCCATTCTAGGTCTCAGGCCGAACACAGAACCCAGTGGCTCTTCCTGGGGACCTTCTGCAGACCCCTGGTCTCCAGTCCCCTCAGGAAATCCTCTGTCCCGAAGCCAGCCTTGGGACTTGCTTCCTACCCTCTCCTCCTCTGAGCCCTGGGGCAGGACCCCAGTGCTGCCTGCCGGACTCCCCACCACAGACCCCTGGGCACCAAAGTCTCCCCACCACAAACTCCCCAGCACTGGAGCTGATCCTTGGGGGGCCTCCATGGAGTCTTCTGACATACCTGGTAAGTGGAGGGCAGAGGGTCTTCTGGGTCCCCCTCCCTCTGGTGCCAGCAGGTACTGTGCTAAGAGGGCCACTTCCCAGGAAAGGGGTCAGACCAGTGCCTGCCCTTTATGCCAACTCATCTCCCTCTTTCTCCTTGTCTAGTTCTAGGTGGTACCTCGAACTTCGACCTATTTGCCAAACCTCCAGAATCCACAAAAACCAAGGAGGGTCTGGAGGGGCAGGCCTTGCCCTCAGGGAAGCCCAGCAGTCCTGTGGGTGAGCAGGAGGCCAAGAGATACGGAGGCTTTGGGAATGAGTGGCCCAGCAGACGGGGTTCCTGCCCTCTTCCCTTCACCTCAGTGGCCAATCTGTCTCCCACCAACAAGCTCTATCATGTACCTTTCAGAGTTGGACCTGTTTGGAGACCCTAGTCCCACTTCCAAGCAAAATAGCACCAAGGAGCCAGATGCCTTTGACTTGGATGTACTAGGAGAAGCATTAACCCAGCCTGGACAGGAGACCCGCACCTGCCGTACCCCAGAGTCCTTCCTGGGCCCCTCGGCCTCTTCCTTGGTCAACCTTGACTCATTGGTCAAGGTGCCACAGGCTGCGAAGACCCGGAATCCCTTCCTGACAGGTAGGGCACCCCCGAGTCCCTCAATACCAGGAGCCTTGCTCTCTCCTGCCCTCCTAGCAGAGCCCAGCTGCTGCCCAGCTGCTGTCTTCCTCTTCCCTGGCTCTAAGACCCCGATCTCGCCGCCCATTCCTGCGCCCTCTCTCGTTCGCAGGACTCAGCGCTCCGTCCCCCACTAACCCGTTCGGTGAGCAGGGCAGGCCGACCCTGAACCAGATGCGCACCGGGTCACCTGCACTGGGCCTGCCGGTCGGCGGGCCTACCGGGGCGCCCCTGGGCTCCATGACCTACAGTGCCTCCCTGCCCCTCCCGCTCAGCAGCGTGCCGGTCGGCATGACCCTTCCCGCCTCCGTCAGCGTCTTCCCACAGGCTGGAGCCTTCGCCCCACCGCCTGCCAGCCTGCCGCAGCCGCTGCTGCCCACCTCCGCCTCGGCTGGGCCGCTGCACCCGGGCCCGCAGACTGGCACCAACCCCTTCCTCTGAGCGACGCCCCAGCCTGAGCGCGAGGCCACGCCCCCTCGTGACCTTGGGCCGGGCGGCAGTGCTGGTCAAGCACCGATCCCAGCCTCGCGGGGCAAGGCGGAAGGTGCACTCCTGAAGTTGGAGACTGAGGACGTTTTTTGGGGCGGAGGTGGCTAGACCACACCCCAACAATAAAGACTGGAACCCACGGGCTCAGCTCTTACTAGCAAGGGGACTTCTTGTGGGGTGTGGCACTGGGGTCTGGACTACAGGAGGGATCATCACTGGCTGTGGAGGAAACTACTGCTCTACAATCTAGGGCACGAAACGGTCCCATTTCCCTTACAACTAACTCCTCTCAAACCTCCATCCACAGCCTCATCTCCTGTTGGCCTGGCACCTTTGCTTCCAGATGTTCCCAGGCTGTCACTCATTCGGTCATGGTCATTTCATTTATTCATCGCACATCAGCAAGCACTGGGGATGATCTAATAGGGGACGGTAGGCGTTTGTTCCCATTTACTGGGCACTTGCTAATGTGCTAAGCACTTTAGGCAGAACATTTCTTTTAATCATTGCAACTCTGGGAGACAGGGAATATTGTCACTCCCATTCAGGACAGCTAAAGAATCTGCAGGGTCCACTGCAAAATGAAAATGCTGCCAGATGTGGTGGCACACGCCTATAATCCCAGCAATTCTGGAGGCTCAGGCAGGCAGATTCCAAGTTCATGTACAGCCTGGGCAAATTCAGTGGGCCCTCGGCAACTTAGACCTAGCCTCAAAGTAAAAAAAAATAAAAAAAGGACTTGGGCTATAGCTCAATGGTAAAGTGCCCTGGATTCCATCCCCACTACTTCCCACCCCCACAAAAGAAAGAAAATGCAGGGTACCCTCTTCAAAATTGGGTTAAGAATTTCAATACAGGAACAGCAGAGCATCAAACCAAGTGCATGGTCCTCCCAAGTGCAGTTGCACAGGTCTCTCTTGCAGCAGCTCCCATTTTATAGGTGAGAAAATTGAGAATCAGAGAGGTTAAGTGGCATGTTCAAAGTCACAAAGCAAGGGCTGTGAGGAGATGAGATTCAAAGTCATCAGACAGTCTGGCTCCTCATCCAGGAGCTCCCAGACTGGGCCCCAGATTTAATTCAGCAAATATTGACTGACTGTTGTGGACAAAGTGTTGGGCTGTCCTGGGAGGAATCCAAGAATTGCTGAGCTCACAACCTGCAGGAGCTCAGAGTACAGCAGAGCAGACAAAAGGTGTGTGTGGGGTGGGAGGGATGTGACGCAGCTGCAGCAAAGCCAGGTCAGGAGCACTCATGTTCCTATGTTTACTGGGTCATCTTAAATCCAGCTCTGAGCCTGCCCCCACCACCAAGGCTGACAAGAAACTTCCCTTTATCAGTGGGAGTCGGCTCCTACTGCGGGTTCGTGAAGGGTTTTAGAAACCAAGAGTGGGACAAGGCCTGGTACTCGTCCTGGGAGCCATCACGGCCACTTTTACTTTCACTCAATGCTTCGTGATCACTGGATCACTGGACACTGGTGTGTCCTCAGTGCTTAGGGGTGGCCCTGCAAGCCAGCCTGCTGTTAGCCCCTTCCCCTTTTAAGGTACTGAGAGCAAACAGCCTTCCATAGCCCTCCCAAGAAATATCCAAGTTGTTGATGGTGGGGGTGTGTGATGCCACTGTCCTCCTGGGGTGGGTTGCTTTGTTTGTGTGGAGGGAGGGAGTCCCACTGTTGCAGACCAGATGGACAAGAGCACTTACTTAGAAGTCAGATGGGCAGGGTTTAAAACTCTGCTCCCAAGTTTGAACTTAATGATAATAATCTCTTAATAGGTGGTTATGCTGTCTGACCTTGAGTAAAATTACTTCACCTCTCTTTGTCTGTGCCTTGATTTCCCTACTTGTCAAATGGGATCAAGAGTTCCTTCTTTGGGCTGGGAGGGAGGGGTGCAGCTCAGGGGGAGAGCACTTGCCAAACATGCTTGGGGTCCCAGCTTCAATCCACAGTTCTGCCAACAAACAGAACTGTGGACTGAACTTCTTGCAATCCCCAGTCCTTTTGTTTCTGAGACGCCCCTCTGTGAGCTTGCACTCTGGCCATTTCATATCTATGACTTTTTCAACAAACAAATAAACAAGAGCCAGGGGTCCATCCTCTTCACGCACTGACCATGACAATGATCCCTGCCCCTCGTCCCTGGCTTTTCCAGGCAGCACACACAGCCCAGCCCCCATCTATCTTCTGCTGCACCCAAACTGGGAAGGTTCTATCTTCCTTGGTCCCAGATCCATCTCTGTGCCTCTCCCACCTAAATTAACTCTCCCCTGGAGACTCCAAGAGGGGCTATTATGTCTCCAGGGAAAAATAGTTCAGTTGCCTTGCTTCCGGTAACTACTTCTGGGACATCTTCCTCCTTGTGAGACCCTCCTCCTGGAGACTGGCACTGTGGTGCTGCCCTGCCTCCTTCCTGCCTGTGGCTGCCACTCCTCCTCATTCTCAGGATGCTTCCCTCTTGGCTCACTTGACCCCACCCAGATCCAACCTCAACACCTTATCCAGGAGGATGACCTCACAGCCTCTTGACCTCTCAGCTTCCCTGACCCATTAGCACCCTTAGGGACTTGTCACCGTCCTAGTTTCCTCCAGGCTTCCTGATCTCACTCCTCCCAGCTGGAGGATGTCCTCTGGAGCATCTCCACCTGCCAGTCCCCCACTCTCAGAACTGCTCAGTATTAAGGATCTCTTCTCTCCTCCATAGCTTCAATGGCTTTCTCTCAACCAAATTCTTCCCATCAATATGTGTTCTTATTAGCTTCATCCCCAAAGTATCTTTCTTCTCACGTTGAGTGTCCAGGGTATCCCTCCATTTCTCCTCTCTGCCCTCCCTCAATGCTCTCCAGTTGCTGCCTGCTCTCAGCCTGGTATCATTGGATGATGGTCACCACACCAACCCAGGGATTTTTCTGGTCTATCCTGGATGGATTCCCGATTTGTGTACCTTCCTTCTTGTAATCCCCAGTCCTTTTGCTTCTGAGACGCCCCTCTGTGAGCTTGCACTCTGGCCATTTCATGTCTGTGACTTTTTCAGGCTTATGGAGTCCAGAACTGAGCCTTCTTTCTGCTTCTAATGCAGTCTCCGCTGGGGGACTTCTCCCTGGAGAAACCCTCATTCCTCTCTCCCAACAGCTTCCCCTCTGTGCTCCAAGCCTTGTCACCTCCATCTCCCTGTGTTCATCTCAAAGGCACCTCAAACAACAGATCCAAAGTGCCAATCATGCTTGACACCTTCTTCTTCCACTGGGCCAGTCCTGATAATCGTGCCTAGGCCCCCAGCCCTGCCTTTTCTCTGCAGCTACACCCCTGCCTTGTGACAACCCTCCCATCTCCCTGTCTTGCTGCTTTGGCCTCCCAATCACTGCTGCTTCCTCTCTTGCCTCTTTCTGATCCATTCTCCACTGAGCAGCCAGCAAGATCTTCCCCAAATGCAAACCCAACTGGGTCATTCTCCTGACTGAAGCCCTCCAACAGCTACCTCCTGCTCTCATCAAAACTCCTCTTCTCACAAGTTCCTCCAAGACCTGGTCCCTGCCCTCCTCCCCAACCTCCAAGCCTCATTTATGACCTATCTTCCCCTTGCTTTCTGACCTGCAGTTCCTTATCCCTGACTCACTGTGACATGTGGGGGCCTTTGCCTATGCTGTTCCTTCGGCCTACTTCTCCAGCGCCCTGCCCCCAGGCCTGTACGCCCTTAAATTTCTTTCCTCTATGGCTACCGCACAAATGTAATTTCCTCAGGGAAACCTTCCCTTCTTATCCCTTCCACCAGATCAAGTACCTTGTTATATTATGCACACAGTGGGTGGTTGAATATTCATTTGTGTGGCTGTCTGACTGGCCTCTGTCTCTCAACTGTCTGTGAGTAAAACCAAGGGAACAGGCTTGTCTCTGTCCACCCTCCATTCAGTATCTGGCAGAGTGGCAGGAACTGGACACTTGGACACTTACTGCATACTGGCTCAATGCATGTGTATAAAGCATACTATACAACATAAAATTGGCTCAGTGTTATTATTCAGGAAAATGTTCCTGGAGTGGGTAAGATTTGAGCAGGACCTGAAGTTGGAGAGACTGAACCAGACTTGCTAGCTGGATAGAGCTGGCCAAGACATGCCTTCAGCTAGAGTCTCATTTCTCAAAAAAAGGTCAAATTAGCTGAGGCTCTGAGATCCCATGGCCCTGGCACCCCATATCCGTGAGAGTCGTCCTCTGGCTGGCAGGGTTACTCAAGCCAAAGCAGTTTTTAGGGATGGACCCCAGGCTCTAAAGCCCGGGCTGCACCGGTTTGCAACCCTCCTCTCGGCCACATGGCGACGCTCAGAGACCAGACACTCAGCTCCGAGTCCGGGCGAAGACCCGCCCGCGGCTCTGAGGGCGTCAGGCCCGCCCCTCGCAGCCTGCCGCTGGGTTTCTCTCGGAGCAGCCATGCTGGGCGCGCGGGCCTGGATGGGCCGCAGCCTCCGGCTGCCCCGCGCCAGGCTGGGTCTCACCGCGAGCCGCAGGTACGAGCGGGCCGCTGGGGTGCGCCCTGCACCTGCGGCGCCGGTGGCCGGTCTCCCTGGCTCTGGGTCCATAGTGCCTGCTCGGGCCAGCCCCGCATGCCTGGTCCTCCCCGCACCCCACCTGCCTCTGATCTGACTTGGACACCTGGCCCTGCAGAAGGGTCCTGAGACCTGCACTGGCAGAAAGGGCCTCCGTCTCTCCCCAACCCCCTCCACTTATGGGGCTGGCTCCTGGGGGGACTAATCTGAGGCTACCACCAAGAAGCCCTCCTTGAGCCCAGTGCTGGACTAGGGCCCTTCTTCAGTAACACATTGTGACCCATCACTGCCCTATACTGATGTGGGGCCTGTCCATTATTAGGTCTGCCCCCAGCATCACTCTCCTAGGCTGAACTCCTTCAGATGGGGCGTTTCTGATTCCCTGGGTGTCCTCCGGGTCTGACACAGGACC